CAATCATCCCTAGGAATGACTCGAATTGAATCTAAGTTGAGGTTACATTCACTCGCATGCTGCCTCTAGCGCTTATGCCGATCACTGCTCGCCATATGGGCCAACCCTGTACACAGTCACACCTATCGCTGGGCACCGAGCCGGTCTCGCGAGTCTTCAGGGCCAGTCTCCTTGCGTACATGCGATTTTAAATGCAATTGTCACACGCGGAATAAGCGGGTGCAATCCACGAGCCTCGTAATCCAGGAAGTTGCGTACCCGTTCTGGTGGCACGCATCTGACTGACTAGAACTATACCTTCAATAGCAGGTCTTACTCATCTCGGTCAGTAAAGACCACCAAACGCAGGGGTTTATCGCCTAATTGCATCGGAATCGCCGCCTCATGTAGGAACGCGAGGAAGACATTCGCGCACCGGGTAGTCCACGATGTAACTAGCGGCGACCAGGGTACGCAAGCCGAATATGTAATGTTGCATTGTCGCAATAAAGCGCCCTGGAAGGGAAACAGTTTTATAGGTCATCCGCACGCGCGAGCTGAGGCCCAGACATGATGTTTACCTCGTATGGACAAGTATACTGACCGGGATTTGACGCAACATTTGCCGTCGGCTAATTTTTCGCTGACGAAAACCACAGCTAGATGGTCTCGCCAGTGAAGTACCAAAGGGATTCCAGTGTTGACGACGGCGAAATTCGTAATGCCAGTGAATGCATGAGGATCGCCGAGCTGAAAACCCCAAGTATTTAAGGGCCTTGGTTCCTTCACTGCCGAGCAGTTTGTAGGAACACTTAAAACAAAGAGAAAAGAGTCTCTGAACGGATTATAGCCATGGATATCAAAAAGTGCGGTCTGGGTGCGAATGGTATGTTTGTCTTTCACTGAAAGTCTTATCATCTAGTTGACGTACCATTCCAGTCCCAACCTTCTATGACCCATCTGACATCGAGTCCATCCGTGCCTCTGTCTTCAATAATGGTATAGCATTTGTGGAGGGGTGTGAGGAAGAGGCCTTAGTAGGTCTTGCTCACCAACTGGGACAAGTCGTGAGACCGCGGAATGAGGAAACACCCGGCAGTGGTGTAAGTCGAATTCGATTTGCATCAGATTTGGTGGGAAATGGATACAGCTCTGAAGGTTCGTCCTTGAAACGACAATAGTTTAGCAGGTCGTAGACTGACGTACAGATCACAGAGCTATTCTTCCATACCGATCGCAGCGGATGGGACGAACCCCCGCGCATTTTGATGTCAACTCTCCGTTCTCAGTCAGAGTCCGGGGGCGAGTCATTGCTGGTTGACGGCCAGAATGTCCTCAACGCTCTTAGGCAACATGATGAGGATCTGTACAACCTATTCACTAGTTCAAAGCATACCAGCTTCCGTGCCGATGATGGAACGTTCGTGCCACGGGCCATGGTCGACAAAGAGACTGGAATCTTTCGCTTCCGGTTCGATGACGGCATTCAGATGTCGGCATCTATGGTTGTTGGCTTCACCAAGCTGCAGGATATCATCTATCAGCATGCCTATTTCGTATCCCTGCGACCCGGTCAGGGTTATGTGCTAGATAACCACCGGTACCTGCATGGGCGAGCCTCCTTCACTGGTTCACGGGAGTTGTTACGAGTCCTTGTCAGGCCCCCCTCCCCACCTAGCGAGAAGGTAATCTTGTTTGACATTGACGGCACACTCTGTCGGTCAGAGGCTCTCAGCATTGACGCATATTATTCCTGTGTGAGCGACATTGTGGGAAAGGACATCAATCATGCAAATACCCCGGTCAACTTGCACGGACGAACTGATCTTGGCCTGCTGCACGACATTTTGGATTATCACCAAGTATCCCTGAAGGATCAAGTGGTGGAGGAATTCCTCAAACTCCACCCACAGTATCTGGAGCGTTCTTTGTCCAAGGGTCTTCCATCGGTGATATGCCCCGGCGCACAGGAAATGCTCAGCTGGTTGATTAGGGAGAATGAGAACTCCGGCCAACCGAAGTTCCAGTTGGGTCTCATTACGGGCAATTCTCGTCCCAACGCGTTGCTAAAACTCCGCGGGGCGGGAGTTGACACCAGCATATTCGACCTTGACATCTCGTCATTCGGGGACAGCCACCATAATCGACTATCATTGTTTCAAGATTCCCTCTCAAAATTGAAGGTCCGCTTTGGCTCTCATATACGCGCAAAAGACGTTCTAGTCGTTGGAGACACACCCCTTGACGTGGAATGTGCGAAGCAAGCTGGTTGCTCAGTCGTGGCTGTTGCGACAGGGAACTATAAGATGGAGGAGCTGGCTTCGCTGAAGCCTAATTTCTGCTGCAGTCAGCTGACTGAAACGAAGGAATACCTTCTGCAGGCGGCCTTTTAGGTGCTACTGCCAGTGTCAATAATTATCTTTCACACGCACATTATGAAAAGGCCACACACTTTGTATCGCAGGTGATTAGAACAGAATATTGGAGTGCAAGGTAGAAAGAAGCCTCATTCGCCTCAGTATAAATATGTATAGGCTGTAAACACTCCATATTGGTCGAAAGTATCAATGATTATTTCATACCGTTCTCGGGTGGCCTTCGAATGGTGATTCCACCTAAATGCGCTCTGATTCCAAGGTCGAGCCAATTATTTCCTGAATTTCTCCGGCCGCAGTACCAGCCAGAACGCCCACCCCAACTATTCCACCATCGCTGGCCTCTCGAAGGAAGACACTCTTCCCTTCACCCTGTGGTCCAGCACTAAGAATCAATCGGTCGATATGTCGCTGAATTCGGTCCTTGTAGTGAGGGTAGTGCTGGATCACACCACCAGACACGGCCACAACCAGCTCCTCCGGCCCTTTTTGCCAACCGGGTATCACTGCTTTGGAATCTGACACTGTATCATACTGAGTGCTTATCGATTTGCCTGGTTTGTGATTTTCATCATCCGGTTCTAAGTGTGCTGTGCTCTTCAAATTTACCTCGCCAGTGCATGCTAAAAGACCAACCGTCGCTGCAGCAACCAAGGCAGATGATCTCTCTTGGACTGCCGCAGCGATTATTCGAATATGTCCAGCGAAGTCGGGGGTCCACATCCAGTCACTCGAGGATGGTGACGGGAGGTGGTTTGACAGTGCCACGGCCAGATGTTCGTTTGAGGAGCTCGAAGCCACCACAAGCGACAAAAACTCTGTAGATAGTGAGTTCCTTTCGACCAGTTTCTCTGGCAATGAAGAATTTGGGATCTTCTTCACTCCGTGAAACCAATCATAAGAGATTATGCGGACGAGCTCGCCAATGTAACGGCCACCAACCATATACTCTAGTGGCTGGAAACCGGGACGGTTGGAATGTTCTTCCAGTTCAGCATCCCACTTGGTTACGATACCGAGCTTCTCCAAAGGCCCGGTTGCTCCGTGGAGGGTCCATTCAGTCGAAACGATGGTCTCATCCGCTTCTGGCTGCTTTTCTCGGATATGGGCCACTTTTGATTCCTGTAGGTCAGCAAGTTTCATGGGAATAGCAGAGTTACAGCCGGCGCCGACGATGAGCCCCATGACAACTCGAGTATTGGGAAGGGCCCTTATCGAGTATGCCAGAGAAGCTAATGTAGCGACCGTATCATTGGTCATGACCGTGACCTTCAACTTCGGTAGACAGTAAGTCTTGCGACGCTTAGTGGGCATGTCACCTGAGTCCTGATCAGACCGCCGGGTGTGACATTCATATCCATCCAGCAAGGCTTGGTGGAGATTCAGGGAAGAGCTCAAGGCGAACCCCTTGCCTGTGGGCATAAGAATGGCCTCATTGAGGAACTTTTGCCTGCGATCAGTTAACCCCACACTACGCTTTATGATAGGCAAGATACGAACTTAGTAGGAAAACAAAAAGAAATTCCCATGATGAGCTCCTTTGGTGCATCGCCTTTAGAGTTGGCGAGATCATCCGCGATGACTTCGGCAATGCAGTCACCAATCCAGGCGAATAGGGACTGGGCTTGGTCACGTCGGAGCCGCTCTTCGATGGGCCACGCCTTCTCCAGGGTTCGTCTTACATGAGGTTGTCTTCCGACTGGCTGATGCCCCAGCAGTTCAATGAAGGCGACTCGGAGATAGGAGAGGCCGAGATAGACAGCCAGATAGCGACCGGTTTCATGGCCAGTTGGCAGCCGGGTGATGGCGGTGGGGAAGAACTGCTCCGATGAGCTGGCTGCCAGCTCTTGGTATGTGTGTGACAGACGATGGGAGAGGTCATAGAGTGTGTCATGATCTATACGGAGGGGATGCAGGAACTCTTGGAGATTAGGATCCAACTTTCCCATCTTGGCGGATGATTCCTTGCCCCGGGGAGTTGCAAGGATAATCAATTATCTAGAAGTAGTTATGGATGGAAGGAACCCAAGGCGGGCGGCGGGGACGAGCCGCCGGTGCGTGGCTTTTGTTTCATTCCCCGTGGCTCTTTGCCGCGGTGGTTCCACGGGTCTTCATGCAAGGGGCAAGCAACCCTTGTATAAACGAAGGAAATCAATACTGCGCAGATACTCTATGCTGGATTTGATATACTCAACATAAGTGACAAGGTAGATATATTCTTAGGGTTTGGAGAGTGCCTACTCGACACTTTATTTTCATAAATTTCTCCCGATCCTGCGATGGCCGACAGATCGCATATCTTATCAATTATGATATTATTCTATACTACGGTGAGAGTCGCAAATGACTAGCATCAATTTATCTACCAGGGACTAAAAGGTGGTCTCTATGATAGTATCTGGAACGTTGTATGCGTGGGTACTCTATCTTGATCTGATTTATAGAGATGCAGTTGAAGGCTTCAGCGACTACTAGTTAATAAAAACAATATTATGTCAGATGATATTTTTATAGTTAGTTAAATAACTAGTTATAGTTATTAGTGCGGGCTCATATGAGTAATACGCGGAGTGGATGGAAGCCCTGAAGGTTTGATCCAGGCCGTTTAAGTCCGAGTAAGCACCGGTGCCCCTCAGACCGGGGAATCTGACAGGAAGCACTTTCTTTTCGAGTTCATCAGGGAGAAGAAAGCTGCAACATTGAGTTCACAAAAGATTTGTGAACTTATAGGCTGTATCAGAAGCCCTTTCTTTTATAGTTATTCCAACTATCTACCATCTACTCCCCAGCCTTCACAAGATGACACAAAATAAAGCTGCCTGGATTACAGCTCCTACTGAACATCCCTTCACTATCCAGGAGGCCCCATATCCCACACCAGGATCCGGAGAGATCGTGGTCCAGAATGCTGCTATTTCTATTGTGCGATCAATTCACTGATTTCCATCGATTTCAGCTAATCTTCTTTTTACGTAGAATCCCGCTGACTGGAAAGTTCAGTAAGAACTTTACAGATATCACGCAGCGTACAATGGAATCTAACCATATCTACAGAACATATGGTGCCCCTTGGCTGAAAAACTGGCCATTTGTTTTGGGCACAGATGTCGCTGGAGTGGTGGTTGATGTAGGCCCCGATGTGGTCCGCTTCACCAAAGGTCAGAGGGTCGTTGCGTAAGTACATTTGCCTGGATTGATTAAATTTCAATTAGATCTGATCCGTTCTGCTCTAGGTATTGCCACTGTCTAGGGACCGGGAATCCCGCCAACTCAGGATTCCAGTTATACACCTTGGTAAAAGAAACCACCGTGGCAGGAATCCCATACTCAACCACCTTTGAGGAAGCATCCGTCCTACCGCAGGCTATCTCGACTGCTGCGGCAGGTCTGTTCCTCAAAGAAAGCCTTGATCTGCCCATCCCCCCTCCTACTGGTGTGAAGCCGACAGGCAAATCGATTCTTGTCTGGGGTGGCGCGTCTTCAGTCGGTGCAACAACAATCCAACTCGCAGTAGCAGCAGGTCTAACAGTGATCACAACTGCATCGGCCCATAACCATGAATTGGTAAAGTCTCTTGGTGCAACTGCTGTTTTTGACTACAAGTCCCCTACTGTCGTTGACGATGTTGTCAATGCGCTCACTAATACTGAGTTCATTGGTGTCTACGATGCTGTTTCTGAACCTGCAAGTCTTGAACTGGTGCGTGCGGTCCTGGACCAGTTGAAAGCAGATGTTAAGACTATATGTGTTATACCTTACGATAAACCTACGGAACGGTTTGCGCCTATATTCAGTGAGTCTCCTTGTGACTCCTTCCACCCACTTGACTCCCCCTACATCTTACTAACGCCCTTTCCCATTTAGTCAGTTCCAACTTTCTGACTTTTGACTCAAACAAACATGTCGCGGAGGGTATCTGGAGAGACTTTGTCTTCAAAGCCCTAGAAACTGGACGCCTTCAACCGAAGCCGGACCCTGAGGTGGTTGGGAAAGGGCTGGAAAAGGTCCAGGAAGCTGTTGACATCTTAAAGAAGGGCGTCTCGGCTAAGAAGATCGTTGTCACTCTGTGATCGTCGAGATGCTATCAAGTTTATAGGAAAGTCTTTTGGCCCAGGTTGCGTTATACAGTAGATAAGGGTTATTGACAAGTCGAAGAATATATTAGTGTCTACCCAGGAATAGATGAGCCAGGAGCACCCTGTCCCCGGTCCTCCGAATAGTTGTCGAAGAAATTCTGAATCATCAGCCCACCCGCCGCATCCAGAAATTCGGCGTTGAATGACCCAGGAGCATATCCAGACATGTTATCATCCAGCCCTAACGTATTAGGTTTGAAAGCTTGTTGGTCGTTTGTAGGACACCAGAGGGCTCGGAAAGACCCCGGTAGCTGGCTGGAAGCATAGGGAGCCATGTCGCTGGGAACGGCAATTCCATGACCGTGCTCTACCGAATGTCAGCCACGTTCACCGGTGTGCAAGGACTTAATCTTCTTGAGGAATGTAGAGAGTGGTGGGGTCATACCAAGTATATTTTGGAGCACGTCTCTAGCTCGCAAGGCCATATCATGGGAAGAACCCAGGCTCCCTAAACAGTTCACCGCACGTTGTATTTGACATTTCCATGTCGGCGCCAAGCTATGTGCTGGCTCGTAGATATAGGACGTCGCTTGGACAAAGCTGGCCGTTAGCAGCCAGCAGGTCGCATACCAGGTCAGGCCGCGGCGGCGGTTGCTCGTTGACTCAAGAAAGCTGCAGATAGAAGCGACACACTCGTCTGCCGCGGTGAGACAGGCAGCGACTGGACCTGTGGAGGTGGCCAACTCGGATTTAGCTGCAATGCTTTGGAAGAGAAAGGGGCGGTTGATAACAATGCGCAGGTGGAACGAGCGCCATAGAAGCACTCGACGCGGGATGTCGAAACGCGGTTCTAGAGAAACGCTGAGCCCAAAATGGGGCGGTAATTCATGGTACCAGGTGTGTATACGCTGCTCTAAATCCGCAGCTTTTTGTTGAGTAGGTAAATGGTGCGTCAATAGCTCTACCTGAACGACATTGGCGATTTTCGCGAGATTCACTTGCGCTATGAGGCAAGAAGTGATAGTTGGGCCGGTGCCACATTCAGGAAGTTCATCCATGTCTACTGCTAGATCATGGTCATCGACATTAGCTGGCAAATGAACATTCACCCCAACAAGCGAGACGGCTGGTCGGCCAAGAGTCAGCTGAACGCCTGACACGAATATAAAGAGTGTCCACCAGACGCGTCGGCGGATCTCCATCGTGAAAGGGGAAGTACTAGGCATGCCAAATTCGCGGTGCAAGCCGATGGCAAGTGCCATACTCCAGCCTATACCGATCACAATAAAAGCAGCATTTGGCTTGTTACGTTTCTGCATATAGTTGGCCATGAGTACTATGGCTTGCACATAGCTGAGAGATCCTTTCTCGAGGACGTCCATTGACAGATGCTTGCGTGCTTCTTTGAAAAATGGTATATCCACTTTGGTGCCTTGCGAATCTCCGACGAAAGCACCAATGGCGAGTACGATATTGTACAAGATGGGCCAAGAACCATCGCGTGGCTTTGCTAGGGCACCTGCTCGTGGTTAGACATTCGCTTATTGATTGTTGTGACGAAGAGCTACCTGAAACCCTAGCACGAAAGGTTCCCTCATGCAAGATGGGATATGCGGGATGATAGATAGCAAAATAGTCATCAAGATAGCGGAGTACATCTGCTCGTCTCTGCTGTGCAGTGCAGATGGTGCCACCATCCATGTCGTCATCAAGGCAAGACAACGGGCTGAAGCTAGTAAGTGGTAAATATAGTGGAAGTGACTGGAGAAATTTGAGGGCCGCTATGCCAGACTGTGGCCCTGTATAGCCGGCCTTGTGCGGGTCGACCGTCAAAAAGCCCATGCCGTCGGTAGAGTTGTCAAAGTCCTGGGACTCGTCGAACTCATAGTCTTCGGCGTTGCTGGGTTCTGCAAAACTAGCAGGAGGCTGCTCCGTTGCATGAGTAACCTCGCTGAGGTGCTTCTGTCTCTGTGGGCCTTGCTGGATAGCGGTGATAGAGTCGTGTTGAGAGCGAACGGTTTGAAGTGCATCCTGGAGATCAACTGATGGAAGATAGATGGCCCATGCCCGTTCCATGTCAGCCCTCAGGCGCTCTAACTCATGAAGACGTCTATATAAATTAGTATTGATGAAGTAACCAATATTGAAGCTAGTTGATAGGCCAACCTTTGCAGAGTAGAAAGACGTTGGGATGGTGAGGAGTAACGACATGATTTGGCATCCCGACGACAGTTGTTGCAATTTTCGTTGCCAGAGCAGCGTATCTTGCGTCGCTTGCATTCATCACAAGCAAAGGTCTTCCGAAGAATGCGTCGAGACTGAGAGATGTCCATTTCCACGGGTGTAGTTCAAGGGAAGAATGAAGAAGTCAATTGTGGCGAACGGAGATTTCCCCGGGCGACGCCAAGACGGCTCCCCGCAGAGTCCGGGGATACCGACATCTACACTCACAACGTTGTTCAATGCGAATTTGATATGAGTCCTGATTGTCAAGTACACGTATTGTCTATGAGGCAATAAGTTCAAGATTGGCAGTCTATACGACATGCAGAGGAAGCTACGTGGCAAAAGGCAACGGTTTACCCATCCGGCATCCACTCATCGGCACCCGGAAATAGCCCCGATGCACGACGGCGATAGATCCGTTGCTCTCTGCACGGCTCGGACCCAATGACATATTGCAGATTTCGGCTGATTCTGCAGGCCATTTAAACAATGAAACCACGGCAAGACCCGGCTGAATTGGTATTCAGTACTCGATTCACACACAATCTGAAGAAACCCATCATGTCTCTCGAAGGAAAAGTTGCGATTGTCACTGGCGGAGCGCGCGGAATCGGCGCCGGCATCGTCCGCAGTTTGAGTGAACAGGGTGCAAAGGTAATTAGCAGCAAATACTGTCAATCTGCAAAACATTAATGGTTCTAACACAGTCGATGCAGGTGGCATTCAACTACGTCTCCCCATCTTCGCGCGAAGCTGCAAATGCGCTTATCGAATCGCTCCGACAAGACAACCATGAAGCCGTTGCAGTTCAAGCCGACATCACCGACCCAAAGGCCCCGAAGATGATCATACAAGCAGCTCTTGATGCTTTCCAGACAGACCGAATTGATATCCTTGTGAACAACGCTGGCGCGGGTGACAACCGGCCGCTGGAAGAAGTTACCATGGAAAGCTACATGCACCTGATGGACGTCAACGTGCGAGCGGTGGTCTTCATGACACAGGCTATACTTCCATACATACCCCGCGGCGGTCGAATTATCAATTTGTCGTCTATATCTTCTAGGGGCGGTTATGCCACCCAGTCTGTGTATGCAGCCAGTAAAGCAGCAGTGGAGGGTCTCACACGGGTGTGGGCAACAGAACTTGGTCATAAATACGGAGTAACCGTGAATGCGGTCAATCCCGGCCCTGTTGATACAGATATGTATCAGGCAGCTGGAGAAGTGCATTTGAAGCGGATGGAGGAGCAGAACAAGAAGGTCCCGGCTGGGCAGCGATGTGGAACCGTGCGAGATATCGGGGACATTGTGTCGTTCTTGGCTGAAGAGAGGTCCCGATGGGTGACGGGAGATGTGATATGCGCTAATGGTGGGATGTTGTATATTTAAACAGAGGCTTATTTACTCAGACAGAGAATTAATAGACTTGGCTATTGATTATGGTTTTTGACCGAGTTTTTGCCTTAGAGCTACAGGTTAACATCTTCGGGCTCGATACTACGCTTGTGGTCCTTAGAACAAAACCACCCCGCCATCACGGCAGCAAGGTCGCCACTACCCCAACATAATCCTGAAACTCATCGCTTCGAGTTGCTCAGGATATTCACTATTCTCCATGGGGGAGGCTAAGTCTCTGACGAAGCCTAGTGGATGCTATCGGGAAAATCCCCGGCGTTTATCACGGCGATAGCTCCGCGAGCCGAGTCCCACAGTCAGGGCTCGTCCCGGTCATCGGCCCCAAATATGAGCTCGTGGAAAACATATTCATCCGAATGAGGCCACAACTTGACCTGTAGATGTGGATTCAACATTGGTTACCTCTAATCAACTCATTTTTCCAGAGCCCGAATTAGCAAGCATTTGGTCTTCGTGCTGCCGGTACTAGATAGTAGTCATCTGTAGATGGGTCCGCGGACCCGAACCACCAGGAAATAACTGCTACTCAAACCTTTAAATTCAATTATGGCTATATCCCGGCGGCTTGCCTCTCGGACAACATTGGACCGGGACTAGGCAAGAAACTGGGGGTGCCCATCGTAAAACATTGGCATGAATGCCGAATTGACAGCCTATGCGGGGGCTATGTCTGGGGTTCTGGGGTAATATAAAACGCCTTTCCTTCTTCGTATATGGTGCTCTTCTTTCTTTTTTTCCCTCCTCATACTCTGCTGAGGGTTCTTCTTCTCATTCCTTTCACAGTTTGTTCCCATCTTTAGTCACACCCTATTTCTATTTTCATGAGTTTTACCCTTCACAGACATGTCGGCCCCCTCAACTGGTTGCCACCGAAAGGTTGCCTCTCAGCAGCCTACGTGTGACGAGATCGAATCCGCATCACGCTCAAAGATCCTCACCGAAGCCGATTGCTACTCAGAACTTGGATTTTTGTTCCCATCCTCTAAAAAATGGACGATAATCATTGTCATATTCCTCGTGCAGACATCCATGAACTTCAATACCAGCCTTTACTCCAATGCCATATCCGGAATCTCCGAAGAATTCAACGTGAGCAAGCAGGCGGCTCGTTGCGGTGCAATGATCTTTCTCATCTTATATGCCTTCGGGTGTGAGCTCTGGGCACCCTGGAGTGAAGAGATGGGCCGGAAACCTATCCTTCAACTGAGTCTTTTCCTGGTCAACATATGGCAAATCCCCGTCGGTATTGCTCCCAACTTTGCTACCATCATGGTTGGTCGGGCTCTTGGTGGGATCTGTACAGCCGGCGGCTCCGTGACGTTGGGAATGATAGCAGATCTATGGGAGCCTGAAGACCAGCAGTATGCAGTGGCATGTGTGGTGTTTTCGTCTGTTGGTGGATCAGTCCTTGGTCCTGTGGTCGGGGGCTTCGTGGAAGCATACCTCCCGTGGCGATGGAACATCTGGATCCAGCTTATCTTCGGTGGCTTCGTCCAGCTGGCTCATTTGATCCTCGTTCCAGAAACAAGAACATCGGTTATGATTGATAGGATTGCCAAGCGGCGGCGAGAAAAGGGGGAGAATGTGTACGGCCCGACTGAATTGATACCTCTCAAGGACCGCTTCTCAGGGAAGGAGATTGTCGGGACCTGGCTTCGACCGTTCCACATGCTGCTCACCGAGCCCATCGTGCTGTGTCTCTCCCTGTTAAGTGGCTTTACTGACGCTCTGATCTTTATATTCATTCAATCCTTCGGACTCGTGTACGCACAATGGAACTTCAGTGCCGTTGCTGTTGGTCTTTCCTTTCTTCCCATCATGATAGGCTACGTTATCACCTGGATCATGGTCATCCCAGTGATCAAACGCAACATTCACGAACGTCGCAGCAAGCCCAACGACGAGAGGGCCCAATACGAATCTCGACTCTGGTGGCTTCTTTACACTGCCCCGTGTCTTCCCATTGGACTTATTGGTTTTGCATGGACAAGTCTTCCGCAGGCACATTGGATTGGCAGTATGTTCTTTTCAGCTTTGGTCGGAATTGCCAACTTTAGCATTTTCATGGCCACCATCGACTACATGATTTGTGCTTATGGTCCCTACTCGGCGTCTGCTACAGGAGGTAATGGGTGGGCTAGAGATTTTTTGGCTGGTGTGTTGACTGTACCTGCGACGCCCTTTTATGAAAGTATGGCAACCCTCAATGTAGACCTGTTTGCCTGTGTATAGTGGCTGACAAATCCGTCAGATATTGGTGGTGACTATCATTTGGAATATGCGTCGACAATCCTATGTAAGTAACTTTTGGTCCTGCTGCAGCAAATTACTGATCCAAACCATAGTCTGCATATCCATATTCCTTGTCGCGACTGTTTATGTCGTCTACTTCTATGGACCTACCCTTCGCAAACGATCACCATTCGCCCAGAAGCTATTGCACGCTAGGACAGACATACACGCAACAATGGAACACAGAAAGTAGTGCTAGCAACACGCTAGTGATGGCCATTAGGATATTTAGTGGGCCAGGATACTTGGAGACCTTGCATTAGGTGGTATGCTACTTCCGAATTGGAGTTCGCGCATGCTAGCCAGGAATTTTAGCAATTCGCCTGGTCACAGGATTTGTCCAACATTACCAAGTCAACTTACCATCTCTCGTCTACTCTGGTCATTGGAATGAATGCAGTGAAACATGATCGAATCATGTACGGGGATTGAAGTGACGTAGCGGAGGGATGTCTGTAAGGGGTATAGAGAATCGGTCCACCGAGTAGGCTTGGTGTCCGTCAAAGAAAGTCATTACTCGCAATTTAGGTCTCATTTCACCTGAATGAGAAAAAGTGGAACATTACTAATGATATAAATAATAGCCCAGGAAGCTGACATTCAGGACGTAAAATATATATCGTCGGCACACTAAAGGCTAGACCAAAAAGGATATATTGCATGTACTGTCAACCGGGCGCCGGAGAGATATGTGTCCCAACATACTAGTAAATCCCATTTGGGTTTCTGCTATTCTGAGTGGCTTTTCAATGTGGTACTTGCTGCCTTGTCACTCCACGAACAGAGTCAAAAAGAATCCCAAAAATGCCTTTTCCCAAGCCCTCGCTCTCATCCAATTTGCATACACTAGCTTCCAGCCTGCCAAAGACACGGTCTTCCCTTAACCTATACTCCTCCCTCAGAGGCAAAAGTTCGAAGATCCGCTGGCATTCCATCGCCGAATCTCGACTTGGCTGACCGTAATTCTCAAGCAGGATATGCCGCTGTTCGGTAGAACACATCCTCAATGCCTGGATAATAACCCAAGAGCACTTATTCTCCTGTATATCGGTGCCAATCTTCCCAGTCAGACGGTGGTTACCGAAGATATCTAGATACTCATTCTGAAACTGGTAAAAACTGCCCAGCGGGACAAGAATATCCCGTGTTTGCTGGATATTATTGGGCGTGTCGAGTTGTAAATACTGCAAGGCAAGAAGAACCGATAGGTAAAAGCCGTAGTATCCCCCCTTCAACTCGCATATAGTATCATACTCTGCCATGTTCCATTGTTCGGTGCTCCGGTTATCGGAAGCAATGCCGTCACATTCTTGTCCAATTTCAGTCAAGAAAGCGAATTCGTGAAAAGTCTCCATTATTTTTAGATATGCTGGGTATTTTTGGAAATGTAGCTTTAGAAGGAAGAAAATTGATGACTTAAGTATATCACCGTCGTTTACTGCCTTCATCCCGACTGATGCGCGTCGATACCAGCACGGCTTGCCCCTGCGAGTTGATGAGTTATCCATGATATCATCATGCATCAACAAATATGCCTGAAGTGACTCAACAAGCCACCCGAGTATACAGAGGTCGTGAAACTCTTGCTCGGTTATAGGGAGGTTCAAGGTCGACAGGCCCGTTTGAGGGACAGAGAGCCCGCGGAGCATTTTGCCGTTCGTTGAATTCTCATAGAAGCACTACTTTCATGTTATAATGATGAGGTGCAAGTGCGTTTCTGGGAGAATGGATCAATTTCCTACCTTCTCGACGTGAGTGATCACTTCATGAGATGCTCCTTTCGAGGCAAAATGTTCCTTAACATTTTCGACGAGCTCCGCGAGGACAGCGTCAAACTTGCTGCGATCAACCGTAAAGGCCATTATGTCTCAGGGAGCTATAGAGATAGTGAACAGGGTCCGGATGAAGTACAAGTACAGCTTGTCAAATTCTGGGCGGGATAAAGTTGAGTTTGACACTAATCCATGGTCATGAGCGCAAGACCGCGTGTACAGACTCGACAACCCTCGAGGGACTCTAAACTTCCTGCTTTCCTTGACACGATATGCAACAAACCTGTTCCGCAACACATGTTTGCACATCGGTCTGCAACGCCTTGACGTAACGGGTAGCTTACTCGTTCTATAATGGATCCTTGCATGCGAGGCCCAATAGAACCCGATGTCACTGGAATATAGTTTTCCGACCTGCCCTGTATATCACCCTTAATAGTGAGACGCCTCAATTTATCGTACGGTTCATTTCAGAAGGAGAACCTAATCATGCCTACCTCATCGGTACACAGCAGCTTTACCACATGAAACATTCCACCCACCTGTACACGTCCATGCCTTACATGCGGGAAGCCTTTTCACCAAAAACCCACACATTCTCACTCGCTCCCTCTCTTCCTCGAGATTCCTTTACTCGTACTTACCTTCACTGAACTGACGAAATGTCGAAATCATATCAGGATCTTGGGCTATGGAATTTGCGGAACGTGGGAGGTTATCATGTCTCACCCCACCGGTGCATGCGCAAAGACTTGATATATCGCTCGGCCAACTTGGATTCTATTGGGCATCCCGGGGCTCATATACTGCAATCACAACTAGGGATCAAAATTATTTTTGATCTCAGAAGCACAGTGGAGCACATAAGGCCAAAGGTGCTGCTTGATGGAGCTGTTGTGTCTTTGCCCGCCCTCGCGAACCCTGATCCCGAAACCCTCCAGACCTATTTTGAGGGAATATCTAAATCACCAGCGGAATCAGTCGCTCGCTTATACATCCATACCGTCAATAACTCGGTGAAGTGTTTCAGAGCTATATTCGAGTATATCAGAGATAATCCCTCGTGCCCTGTGCTAGTGCACTGTGAGCTTGGAAAGGACCGAACAGGTGTCTTTATCTCTCTGCTCTTGTTCGTCCTTGGTGTGTGCGAGACGGATATAATCTACGACTACACTTTATCGCAGGACGAGATTAAGGATATTATCCACGAGAGAAAAGCGAAACTTTTCAAGACTGCTTTCATGGACGGGATTTCGGTTTCACCAATTGCCCTTGAGAATCATTTCAAGGCACTCCCGGGCTCTATGAAGCTGTTTCTTTCTTACCTGAGAGAGACGTATCGTGACGGTCGGGGTTATCTATCGTCACTTGGATTCAGTGATGTTGACTATGCTACTATCTACAACAATCTGACGGTGAATCTCTAACCACATTTTGTAGAGTGTAGAAATGGCTTTGAATGACATACACGTTTCTTAATTTCACGTTTCGGTTCCTACGTCCTTTCTTTACATCCCTTCTCTACCTCAATAGACTTGGAACCTCACTAAGCACAATCCTTTATGCATTCAGATTTTGTAAGTCCAATTCACTATCTGAGGCATCATGCCATCCGCATATGGCTATCAAGCGATGGTCCATATATAACACTCTTGATCCCTTTCCGTGCCACAACATTCTTGAACGCCTCTTCCGCCTTCTCAAAGTCAAATTCATGCGTCACCAAGCCATCAACCCGGACCCGTCCAGAACTCAGCAGTCCAATAGCCAATCTATAGTCGCCCGGCCCATACCGAAAACTCCCCTTGAAGGCGATCACCTTATCGCAGACCATTCCAACTGGGAAAGCCACAGTAGGCTTTCCAAGTCCAACCTGCACTAAAGTACCTCCAGATGCAAGGACGTCAATCACACACGCAAGACAAGCTTCTGCCCCTGAGGCATCAAGAACAACATCAACGCCCTCAGGTAAACCCGTGAGAGCACGAATCTGCGCTTCATTACTACTACCCCCCTCCGCCTGGGCTGTCTGCATCCGATAAGTATGCGTTGCGCCATAACGACGCGCACATTCTAGTCTCTCCTCCACAACATCAACAGCTACTACCGTACTAGCTCCAAACGCAGCAGCCACGGCACAGCAAAGTAATCCGACCGGTCCAGCACCAAATACCACCACATTGCGATTTTGCATGTCGCCTCCCAAACGACAGGCATGTACTGCGACACTCAAGGGTTCGACCAGCGCACCATTACGAAAGGACACAGTGTCGGGCAGCTTATAGCAGCATTGAGCAGGAACCCGATAATATGTGCACAGAGTACCGTTGACGGGGGGTGTGGCAGCAAACTGCATGGACGTGCAGAGATTGTATCTGCCGCTGCGGCAGTACGAGCAGACGTTGCAGGAGATTCCAGGCTCCAAGGCTACACGATCATTTAATTTCAGTCCATCGACATTGCTTCCTGTAGCCACGATCACGCCAGAGGACTCGTGGCCGAGAACAAGGGGCTGGGTGACTTCGTATCGACCGAGCTTTCCATGCTGCCAGTAATGGATCTGCGTGAAGACGGTGTCAGAAGATTATATCTATCATAGATGAGAAGAAACATTCACGTACATCTGAACCACAGAGACCGGTGGCTACCACGCGGACAAGAACATCCCGATCAGATTCTATATTTCGCGCTCAGAGTAGGTGAAAGTGCCTCCCGGGTGCAGAACCAACGCACGGTTTATCGATAGCTGCGGTGTTGGCATATTGGTATCCTCTATAATGATTAATCGGAGAGATTTCTGGTCTATGCATCCATGCACTGCTTTGGTCTAATCTTATAGATCAAACATCGTCTCACGTTGCATACAGCTTGAGCGGTGATTGGCCCGGCGCTATCGCCGAACGAATCAACGGTGCCACAGGCTGGAAATATCCCCGAGAGCCCTTCCCCACCACTACCCCACACTTGTCCAGTTGTCCATCGATTCCCCCGCGTCTCGGGGGTATCGCCGTCTAATTTTTGAAGTATGGCAAAAATGTGATCCAAAGGAGAGATAAATCACATAAATATGGCACTTCCCCATTCCTTTCAAAGGTGTATATTATCCTTTTACAACGTTGCGCACATCTAACACAATGGAAATCCTCCAACAAAAGCCCACCAACTACGCCATCCACACCAGCCCAGCCAACGACCTGCGGCTAGTGGAATGCGAAATCCCCAAGATCGCACCAACCGAGTGCCTAGTGCACGTTCGCGCGACCGGAATCTGTGGCTCTGATGTGCACTTCTGGAAACATGGCCATATCGGGCCCATGATCGTGACGGGCGACAACGGACTAGGGCACGAGAGTGCCGGCGTGGTACTACAAGTCGGCGAGGCCGTTACACGCTTCAAGCCTGGTAAGTCCATCACCAGCCCACTTACAACCACCCACTAACCATTCCAACCTCCAGGTGACCGCGTCGCCCTCGAATGCGGCGTCCCCTGCTCCAAACCCACCTGCGATTTTTGCCGAACAGGTCTCTACCACGCCTGTCCGGACGTGGTCTTCTTCTCCACACCCCCGCACCATGGTACTCTGCGCAGATACCACGCCCACCCTGAGGCCTGGCTCCACAAGATCCCCGACCACGTCTCCTTCGAAGAGGGTTCTCTTCTCGAGCCACTGACCGTCGCGCTGGCGGGTATTGATCGCTCTGGATTACGACTCGCCGATCCACTCGTTATCTGCGGCGCTGGACCCATTGGTCTGGTCACTCTACTCGCTGCCAACGCCGCTGGCGCTGAGCCCATCGTTATTACCGACCTCGATGAGAACCGTCTCGCAAAGGCCAAAGAGCTGGTTCCCCGCGTCCGACCGATCAAGGTAGAAAGGGGCGAGAGCTCGGCGGATCTTGGTCAACGGATCATATCCGAGCTGGGACAGGAGGCGAAGCTTGTTATGGAGTGTACGGGTGTGGAGAGTAGTGTGCATGCTGGTATCTATGTAAGTTTTCTCCTCCTTTTCCCTAATCCACAAATATCTGTGTCTCCGGTGATAGGTGACTGACTGATTGATACAGGCCACCCGCTTCGGAGGCACCGTGTTCGTGATCGGAGTCGGAAAAGACTTCCAAAACATTCCGTTCATGCACATGTCCGCCAAGGAAATCAACCTCAAGTTCCAGTATAGATACCATGATATCTACCCCAAGTCGATTGCTCTGGTCGCTGCGGGTATGATTGATCTCAAGCCGCTGGTGTCGCATCGGTATAAGTTGGAGGAGGGGTTGCAGGCGTTTGATACGGCTAGCAACCCTCGTTCGGGGGCGATTAAGGTGCAGATTTTGGATGATTAATCATAGATAGTAGATAAATAGAGAAATTTGACTGTGTTAACTTGATGTAACGTGCCGAGAACATAGTTCGATCCTAGGATCCTTGGTGATAGGCTTACTACTTCTCATCAAGTTGAATCAAGGTAACCATATCTCTACCAAACTATCTTCGAATTTCCTTGTGATGTACATCCGTCCGCTAAAGTCAGCAGACCCCCACATACGACCCCTCACACATAGCCTGAACTAAGATGTCCGATTTCTAGAACTAAGCCTTCGCCTTTAACACCCTCTGCTCCTCCGCCCAAGCAAGCGCACTCTTCCTCACACTCTCCTCACCAACCTCCGAGAAAATATCCACTCCAATTCTAGCCGGGAAGTTCATCCGCTGGTGTCGCTCCAGTGACTCGATAGTAGAGAATGCGTCATCGGGGAGGAGGAAATCTTTTCAGTGCATATCAGCATATAGAAGAACTATGTACATGAGGGCAAACAGGGGGGATTACCTTGGAAGTTACTCTCGATTCTCTCTGGGGTCACGGACTTGGGAAGCACGACGGTTCCGCGTTGTACAGCCCAGCTGATTAGGACTTGTGCGGGGGTTTTGTTTAGTTTCTTGGCTGTTTCGATGACGAGGGGGTCATCGACGGCGCTGGATTATCTGTTAGTGGATTGTGGTATGTGAAGATAGAATATGGGGTGCATACCGGGGGATGTTATAGATATTGTTGCCTAAAGGGGAGTAGCCTGCTATTACGATTCCCTGTACATTGTCAACTTAGTATGAGAGCCATTGTGTCAAAAATGTGGAGTATCTTACCTTCTGCGTCGACCACTCCAGCAGATCCTTCTGCTGAAGAAACGGGTGAGCTTCGATCTGGTTGACTGCGGGGGTTATCTTCGCTCTATGGATACTGTCAGCTTTGTTACAGACATAGTAACAAGCACACTCACGTCTTCAACAACTCCTCAATCTTCTCGCGAGTAAAGTTGCTCACTCCGATCGAGCGAACTTTCCCCTTCTCGACTAGCTTCTCCATAGCAGCCCATGTATCCTTGATCGGAACATCCACGACATCAATCAGACCCGTTTGTTCATTAACGGGCTGGATAGTGGTTGTTGAGTATCTGAAAGCGACAGGCCAGTGGATCTAACATTTCTTAGCACCACTTCAACAGCTTGGACGCATCGTCAACATACAAGATACAGATCAAGATAATCAGTCTGCAAATCAGCGAGCGATTTATCCACAGCCTCTTCGACGTTCTCAGGATGGTGGTGGGTGTTCCATAGCTTGCTGGTAAGCTACATATACATGTTAGCGATGTATCATGTACTCTGATTCGGTTTGAGGCATTGCTTACGAAAATGTCCTTCCGCGGAACGCCAGACTGTCTGATCCCATCACCCACTTCTTGTTCGTTGCCGTACACTGCTGCCGCGTCGATGTGCCGATAGCCGCATTTCAAGGCTGCGATGACGGCATCGCGGACTTCGTCTTTCTTCGATTGCTATTTATCCGTCAGGCATGAACAGGATTCATTTTGCGTAAAGGTAATTGACGCACCCACGTTCCTAGGCCAACGGCAGGCATGTCGTAGCCTGTGTTGAGCTTGAAGGTGCGACCTAATGCCATCTTTATAAAACCGTTGTTTTATAGTAGGTGACTTGTTGGAAAGAGTAGAAGGGCCACAGTAAATGAGAGTGCGAACGGTGGAAAGTGTATATTTGAGCAACTATGCGGAGGTAGTAATGATATAACTATCGTCTATTTTGAGGTTACATTTCTTCGAGTAGGAAGAATATAGATCGCGTATAAATAATGCGGTTGTCGGAAAAGTAGTAGGGTATCCGGATGCTTTTCCGGGCTATTTTCCGAGCTTCCCATAGGATAATATCCCACGCTGTGGGGCAGTGGAAGAGATCGCCAATATCCATAGTAGTTATTTTCCCGTAGGACTCCCATAAGGTAATGAGAAGCAGATATAACGCAAAATCAGGATGAAAATTTCAAGTTTGTCGGAACGGCTAAAGGTGTTGAAGGAGGCTTCCATGGCTTCCGGTTACAAAAATCCAGATGCTCGGCACACGGTATAGTCGCAGTGACCAGGTCGATAGCAATGCAATAGTCCATGTTATTGAGAGCTGCGCAACTCGCAATTTGGCGTATACATAAGGAGTGCTTCAGGTGTCACAGGGTAGCGGAGAAGCATGATCTACCTGGATACAAAACAAAGATAAATGTTTTAGGATTGATTACCATATCCTCAAGCAGATCTACTCCCGGGCGCAACCCGGGAGTACCCTTGTGCATCAGATGCGTAGGTGATACCATCCGCGATTCTGCTGTAACAGTTATCTTCCCACCTTCAGTTGTTGCATCTGATGTGTCAGTCCTCGCCCAGTAAAATATGTTAGCAGAAAAGATAGTATCAAACACACCACAATAAGTAGTATTCACTTGATACAGGTCTTCGGTGTCTGCAATTTGGCAAAGAAACATGAGTGTTAATGAGGATAGGGAACATAGATCAGAGAAGAGTGAAATAAGAGCAGACTCAGACGGTATGATAGATATCTCCTGTTGACTAAAGCATACAGAGCATAAGCCGTAGGTCAATCTCACTCAGGTTTTAGGGCCAGGAAAGACATGTAAATCAAATTATGCGTAATCATAAGTGGCAGAGCAATATCATACCACTGTAGTCATGTGATGCCACTCGGAATCTTCAGTGTTTTGCAAGCGTTGAAATCATTGGTCAACATCTCCGCCCTATACTGCAGGGACTCCAAAAGTCAAAAGTGGGGAAGAGCCCTGTTTTGCTTCTCCTCGGCATTTGAGAACAGCTCATGGTCTGGGGAAAGATTAAGTCCCCAACAACACCTCTCAGACATCCATTGACTTTCTATCTCGATACCCATCTTGACATATACTATCGCTTATCTAGAGTATGCCTGATTTCGCTTATTAAACTCAATTACCTTTAATGTCTCTTCTGTTGACTCTTCGTGACAGCCAAGAGACCGGCTACAGCCAAGGCGGGCTATCCAAGCCAACCAGCCCAACGATTCGTCCACGGATTGCCTCTATCTGCATCCGGGTCTAGAATGGCTCAACCCTGTCGGTCCTTCTTTCCCTCCCCAATCCTGCCTTTCCGGGAAACACTCTCGCGGACCCCGCCGTGGGCGAGTCATCATGATAAGAGCCTTCTCCGCGGGGTTTCTTCTAAATCCACCCATGCATGCATGTCTTTACGCCCTTTATAGATAGTCTGCTACTTCCCCTCACTTCTCCTCCCAGTGACACCACGCTTGGCTCATCATGCGCACTTCTTCGCAATCTTCTGGTCTCTGTCTGGCCTTGATGGTCATGTCTCTGGCCCTTCCAGCATCTGCTGAGAAGGTGCTAGGTGCTTACATCTTTGCTCGGCATGGAGACCGCACGGCTAAGGTGCTGAAGGACACGGAATTGACCGATCTGGGTTACCGTGAGGTCTATACCACTGGTACCTACTGGCGGAGCCGCTACATTGATTCGGACTCCTCTCTGCAGATCCAAAATATCAGTGAAGACATTGTCAAGCTGAGCCAGATCAGTGCCTCTACCCCGTCTGACGATGTGCTGCAAAATTCTGCCACAGGATTTTTGCAAGGAGTCTATCCGCCTGTCGGCTCGTCAGCCAACGAGACCTTGGCTGATGGAACAGTCGTCGACTCTCCCCTCGATGGGTACCAGCTGATCCCCTTGTCCATGACCGACTCGGGATCAAACAGCGAGGACACCACCTGGCTGCAGAGTGCGACCAATTGCCAGAATGCGGAAGTCAGCAGCAACAACTACTACAGCTCGTCCTTGTATAATTCACTTCTTGATTCTACCACCGATTTCTATCAATCGCTTTCGTCGCTATTGAACAGTACCTTCTCCGAATCTTCAATGAGCTTCAAGAATGCCTACACCATTTTTGATTACCTTAATGTCGGGTCCATTCACAATACCACCAATGTGCCAACAGCAGAGCAACTCCACCAGGCCTTCCTGCTGGCTAACATTGAGCAATACAACCTAGCTTACAACTCGTCCGAGCCCGTCCGAGCCGTAGCAGGCGCCATGCTGGCAGGTGACGTTCTTCAAGGCTTGAACAAGACGATCACATCCAAGGGGAAAACCAAGCTGAATATTCAGTTCGGCTCCTACGGCACGTTCCTCTCCTACTTTGGTCTGGCACAACTCCCTGCTGCGGACGTCAACTTCACTGGAATTCCCGACTATGCTTCCTCTATGGCATGGGAACTGGTGACGAACTCAACCTCAAGTGAATTTCCTTCCACTTCCGACATCAGTGTGCGATTCGTCTTCCATAACGGTACACTCAATGAGTCAAAGAACGATAGCCCTACTGAGTACCCACTTTACGGCCGGTCAAGTGCCACCATTCCCTGGTCCGACTTTGAGCGTCTGAGCACGAAGATTGCCGTCACATCGCAGTCGCAGTGGTGCCAGGCATGTGGTAACACTGATGGTCAATGTGCGTCTTACTCGACCAGCTCCAACACTACCTCTACTTCTACGCCTCAGCAGAAGTCAAGCAGTGGTATCTCCCGGCCGGTAGCGGGTGTTATCGGTGCAATGGTAACTTTGGCGGTCATTCTTGGTGCAGAGGCGCTCCTCCTTCTCGTGGGAGGATTCCGCATTACCAAGAAAGGCGCAGTTGCACAGAACGCAGCTGCCGACGAGGAAGACAAGACCTCTTAGGAGAGACTAAAAGCAGTGAGCATGTATTCTTGATGAGTTTGGATGAGCGATGATTTTATGATGGCTGGAGCATCGTGATTTCCAGTCTTGTGCTACTTTTTAACCAATAACTGGCTTCGTATCGGGATCCTGGTCCGAGTTATAATGAGCCTACATTAGCACTACAGTCTTTATGATATTCTACCAAGCTGACGCTGCCGTCATTCCAATATTCTGCGCCGCACCAAATATTCCTCGTAGCTATTTCCTCTTCCACCTCGGACTCTTTGTCAATAGCTGAACCGTCTCATTTCCGGTAGCCACATCTTCAAAGTAGATTGCATCAAAAATTGGGTCGAGGCCTGGATGCGACGAACACCCTGAACCATGGATGGATGCACTTCTGGTTCCACCACGGGGAGGCCCGCCATCGCGACACCTAAGCCGTTACATCATGACCTCGGCTGTTCTGGATACAATCGCAAAGTTTCTTCGATGACGAGGCACTCTTCTCTCCTTACGACTACCACTCCAGACACATCTACAGTCAATCTCCATGAGGGACTCCGGTGCGCTCTCCAGCCCGCGAACGCGACACCCGCAGCCAGTCTTACAGGCCCAGCATCTACTCAACCATGCAGGTCCTTATCCGCTTAACGATGGCCGCTCTGTTGGTCCTCACTGTACTCTGGGTCGGATCGCAAGTGAGCACAGTCCAGCAACAGCAGGAGGTTATCCCCGAAACAAATCCTCTGGAGGATGAATATCAATCCAGCAAACCTACCCAGTCTATACAGCCGGATATTGCAGACGTATCGCACACCCCTTCAGCAACGCCCTCCCCATCAATGGGTAGGAAGAAGCGTCCTTCGATAACGGACCTCCTTCCTTCATACCAGAAGGACACTGCATCCCCTCAATGGGTCATCGACAACATGCTGGACACGACGCAGACACCCATTGACGGCGTCATTGTCGTCGGGCGACTCAAGTTCGAAAGACCTGACTGGCTCATCAATGAATTGCCCGAGTGAGCGCTCCCCCCCCCCCCCTACACCTCATCCATACTTCTTGTATCACCATTGACAATTCCAGCTGGCGCCACGCAATCTACACGCGCGACGACCGGCGCCACCCCCTCAGCATCCCCAAAAACAAAGGCAAAGCCAGCACCGTCTACCTCCAGTACATCATCGACCACTACCACCATCTGCCCGCGACGATTGTGTTCCTGCACAACCACCGCAAACCAGGTCACACTGAGTTCCGCGACTACGGGAACGTGGCAGCCGTTACTTTTCTCCGACGGGATTTTGTGCAGAAGAACGGGTTCGCTAATCTCCGCTGTACTACTAGCAGTAGTTCTGGTTCCAATTCAAATGACGAATGTGGGAATGTGATCCGTCCGATTTCCGATGCCAACGAGACTAGTGCGCAAGTCACAACGATTGAGCAGGAGTATCCGGTCATTTGGAAGACGGTCTTCAATAGCACTGATGTGCCGGAGAAGATTGCGACGCCGTATTGTGGACAGTTTGCGGTGTCGAGGGAGCAGGTGCACAAGCGGCCCAGGGAGGAGTATATGAGGTATCAGCAGTGGGTGATGGAGACGAAGTTGAAAGATGAGGAGATTGAGCAGGTGATGGGGTCATTGTGGCATGTTATTTTTGGGAGGGAAGCTGTATAGTAAGTCGAGTTCATGTTTGTCAATGCTTGGGGTGATGTGTTTGCTGACTGGTGTTAGTTGTCCTGATACGGCCAAGTGTTTTGAGGATGTTTATGGGTTGTGATTTTTCAGTGATGTAGCTCCGTAATGAAATAGGGATACTAGATTTAATATAGTCAGTTATGCTCATATCGAGAGCAGCAGCAGCAGTAGTGGTACAAGTAGGGGTTAGTTGTAGAATAGATCAAGCGGAGGGGAGCTACGCTATTAATACTTACCGCCGCGCCGGCGCGACATGACGTGCGTGACCCACGCAAATTTCCAACTGCTTCAACTTCATCTCCGACTTCACCTCCGCACGCGCTCCCTCGCACCACGGACCCTATTTCGGGTCGTCACCTCGTCCTTGAATTTAATGAATTGAAATTAACCCTATCAATTCAACAACTGCCACCTATCCACCTACCTAGCTACACGGAACTCCCCAATCGCGCAGCTCCAGCTGCCACTGATCACTACCACCAAACAACCACCACCCTAAAACCCTCACACCTGCACGCCTCCGTGCGCTCTTGAACCAAGATGTCGACACACTACAACACCGAACCCACCGCCACCGCCTCCGCAACCCTGCACACAACCCTGGGACCCCTACACATCGCGCTCTTCGCCTCCCAAACGCCCCTAACATGCCGCAACTTCCTTCAACACATCCAAGACAACTATTACACAGGGACAATCTTCCACCGAATCATTCCCAACTTCATCCTCCAAGGTGGCGACCCAACGGGAACTGGCTCAGGCGGAACAAGCATCTACGAGGAACCCGAATTCGAATACGACCCGACAGCGCGCGATCCGAACGAGAAAGTAGTCCTGCGCGATGAACTGCACAGCCGGTTACGATTCAATCGGCGCGGATTGGTTGGGATGGCGAAAGCCGAGGACGGGAGCTACGGGAGTCAGTTCTTCATTACGCTGGGGGATGCGAGTCGGGAGTTAAACGGGCAGTGTACGTTGTTTGGAAGGATTGAGGGCGACAGTATTTATAATGTGTTGAAGATTGCGGAGGGGGAGGTGGTCGAGGGGACAGAGAGGCCGGTTTACCCCATTAGGGTTACCGGGTGTGAGGTGGGTGAGTTGGGGCCGTTGGAGGGGAAAATTGTGAAGAGGGATTTGACGGCGAGAAGTTCTGCGACTGCGACTGCTGAAGGGAAGGGTGGGAAGAAGACTGCACAGGCGAAGAAGAAGGGGAAGGCAAAGGGAGGGAAGACGCTGCTCAGCTTTGGTGATGATGAGGGTGAAGAGGGTGAGGAGATGCCTGTCAGGCCGGCGAAACCGAAATATAATGCTGCGCTGGTGACGGATACTACAACTGGGAATGGGGTTGCGCCAGCAGAGAAAAAGCCCAAGGCAAGGAAGGCGTCACCGTCACCACCACCGCGCAAGCGCGCATCGCCCACCCCTCCACCCATTGACCGACCCAAGAGTCCCGACCCAGCGACGCAACTTCCTCTGCGCGATCCAGAGTCTCCCGAGCGCTCTCCCAGCCCGGAAGAACAGCCAGCACAAAAGTCCAAACTGGAGCGAACCAACGCGGAGATCGAATCCCTGAAAGCCTCCATGCGCCGCACCGTAACCACGGAATCAGATGCAGGACGCAAGAAAACCGCCTTGGAAGCCATGATCCCTCAAACAGCCATCCGCGGCCGCAGACGCCCACCACCAGGATCCTCAGCAAGTACCAGCGCCAGCAACGGCATAACGGGCTTCTCTAGCACCAGCGACAACGCCGCACTGAAGATGTTCAACGCTTTCAAAGCGAAACTCGAAAACGCGGACACTGCCCCTACCACCACCACTACGACCAGCAAACAACCCCAACCCAAACCCCAAAAAGAGAAGGAAGAAGACGAGGAAGACGAGGAATCTCAACTCTGCGACCTCCACTTCATCGTGAACTGCCAATCATGCAAATCCTGGTCTGACAACAACGCAGCCGGCACTGATGCCGCCGAAGGCAATGAAGACAACCAATTAGGCGACGACACAGACCAAGGATGGTTAACGCACCAGCTCCGCTTCGGGAAAGATACGCTGGGCAAGGATCTGAAATGGAAGAAGGAGCATCCGGACGACGTGGATAGTTTAATGGTGATTGATCCGCGCGAGAAGGAGAAGGATATCGTTGCGTCCGGGTCCGGGTCTGGGAGGAAGAAGAGGGGGATGATGGAACGGGATCGTGAGAGGGATAGGAAGAGAGGGAGGGTGGGAGATTTGGAGTGGGAGAAGGGGAGGAAGTAACTTTTCTCTCGTTGACATTGACATTGATTAGTTGATGTGTAACATACATACATACTATACTACTTATATCCTATACTACTTCTATATGGTATATCGGAATTGAATGAGGATAGAACGTCAATGGAATTCAATTTCAGCTGGGGGTTTGGGAGAGAAACAAGAAAAAAGCAAGAGAGGAGAACCTAATGTCATTTTATTTTTATTTAATACTATGAACAAAACGTGCGCCGCTATCATTAGAATCGTGGTATGTGTAGAAGCATTCTTTCGTGTACGGGAGGAAGAGGAAATAGAAAACTAGAATGATTAGGCAAGGGGGAGGAGTGTGTGTGATAAGGGTATGATTGCTTTTTTCTTTTTTTCTTTTGTGAGGCCGTCAGTCAATGAAGAGAAGCGTGAAGTTCAATCATTCAATCAATCAATCAGTCAACCGAACTGTGATGCGATGTCTTGATCTGTTGTATGAAATCAGGCGGGAGAAGGGAGAGGGGAATTGACGAGTTCATCATATGGTAAGGTGTAGGTAGGCATGGGTATAGATATGGGGTATGGGGGGATTATATGCAGCGATATACCTCATTTGAGAAAAGGCAAGACAAATGTAAAGTTTAAGCTTTTATTCGTATTCGTAGTTCCAAGGTTGGCTCTTGATATTGCCTTCCGCAGACACACAGCCCCGTTAGTAATGTCATCAAGCAGGATGAAAATAATATAAAAAAAAAATCAAGCCTTCTTGCGCCGCTTCGCGCCGCCGCCATTGCCCTTACCTCCCTGAGAATCGTTAGTTTCGGACCCGCCATATTGCAAGCCATCATCCACCGTGTTGGCCGGGCTGGTGCTCTCGCTGTCTGGAAGTGCCTCGATGCGATTTGTCTCGTGGTTGATGGGGATTTGCGCATCCGCGCCGACTCCTGAGCTCATTGCGTTGGTTCCATAACCGCTGCCATCGTATCCGTTGTAGTACCCGGCCGTCGACTGCGGGTTGGCTCCGCTGAAGATATCACCCTCTGCTGGGATCTGGTCGAAATCAAACAGCTCGGTAGCATCTTTGATCACGCCGTCCTCGGGACCGGTCGTCGCCGTTGGGTCGGCTGATGTTGTGACCGGTACCGAGTGCGACGAGTCGCCGAAATCTAAGCTATTTTTATTATGTTCGAGGTCTCCAATGTCCGTGAAGTAGTCGTTGGTGAAGATCTCATCAAGGTTTAGTGGGGGAGGGGGGACGCTGCCGTCAGTGCCAATGCCAGGGATGGTGCCCGTAGGGCTCAAGGGTTGAAGCAGGTTGGTCAGGTTCTGCACAGAACGGTCTTGCTCCGCTTGCATCTTCACCAGGTTGTCGATCTCCGCGCGGGTATTGGCCAGCCGCCCCGAATAGTTGTGCGGCATCGGCGGTGGCGTCGGGGTCATCAGCGCGTTGTTTTGAGACACCGGCGGGCTGGTGCCGCTGGAATTGCTCTCGTTGGCCATCAGACGGAGCATATCTGCACGCTGGTTGGGGGTGAGTGGCGAGTTTCCTCCGGATGTTTCAAGGGATGACAGCACATTAGGGAAGTCGGCGAACGTCGTTGGCATGCCGTTGCGCGCATTGGAGTTCTGAATCACAGACATAATGTCCCGTTGTGGGAACTGTTGATTCGCTGGCACCGCCGCCTCCTTTTGCCGCGGGCTCGTGTCAAACACCTCCTCGACATGGCCGGGTTGCGACGCACTCGGCTGCCGGCCATGGCCACGCGGTTGTGAGCGGTCATAGGCGGTGGCAGCAGGGGACAATGTTGTCGCACGGCTCTGCCGGTCAGCCCCCGGGGGCGCTTTCAGCAAGAGCGGTTGCTTCTTCATTGACCGTTGTCCACCAGGGCTATTCAGATTGGACGCACCTAAGGTGCTCAGCGTATACTCGTCCCCCATGTCGACAACGTTGCCTTGGTCTTGGGAAATAGCTCCCGCGAACGAGTTCGCCAGATTCTGCGGTCCCTCCTGCCCTTGCAGACTGCGGTTGTAGACAGTTGCTAGGAAAGTGAGGATGGCATTTATCGAGTTCTCGTGCCGCGTATGCTGCTCCTGGAAGTTGGCCGCCTGCGCGTACAATTGCTCGTGCTCGCGCCGTAGTTTGCTGATGGTGTTGGAAATGATCTGTTGTTGCTGCCGGATAGCTTGCAGCTCTCGATACACGCCTGCCAATTGGTCTTTGGGCATGACATTGTTCGTGATGAGAGACAATTGGCGATTGCGCGCACGGTCATCTCGAGATCCAATGCCATCATCCCCGTAGTCGTCGTGGTCCTGGTCCTCCGCTTCCTCGGTCTTCACACGCACGTTTGCTTTCCCAGACTTGCTACCCTGGCCCGCCGTGTTCTTGGGCTTCTGAATCAACCATAGCAGGTCAGGATGCCCGCGCTTAAAGTAGGGGTTGGCGTATTCGCTCGGGCTCTTGTTCTTCCGCTCGCTAGCACGCATCGAATTGTCCGACAGCCCAACCTTCTTGTGAAAGCCGTACATGTTCAGCTGGCGAACGAAAGAGGCGTAGTTGTTGTGTTTGAACAGCTCCGGAATGAGGGTCTTCGCAAACTCATCTTCATCCATAACGATGAAAGAGTTTCCATCATCAGACCATCGGATAAGTTCAGTGTTCTTCGACTCGTCCAGAAAACTACAATGCAGTTAGTATTCGTTCATTCGCTGCTGTCAGTCGGTCGACCTACCTGCTCAGCTTTTGCACAAATGGAGGGATCTGCTTCCGCTTGGCCTGTGCCTCCCTCTTCGCAACCATCGCGCGCTTATATAGGTCCTCCAGACTCTCCCCCCATCCCCCGTTTTCTCCAGTCCCAGTACTATGATCGGAGAACGGTGGTGTTTGTTCATATCCTCGGCCGCGATTCACCAGTTGAGTTGGGGTTTGACGACGCGCAAGCTGCCCCGGAGCAGCAGCAGTAACATTGGCCGCAGGCACGTCCGGGCTGGATGTGTAGGCAGCAGCGCTGTAGGGGTTGGAATCAGGGAATGAGGGACTGGACACGTTCGAGGAGGTCTGACCCCATTGCAGAAACTGATCGTTGGAGAGTTGGTTTCCGGGGTTCTGAGGGTAATTGGATAATGGGCCCAGCTGAGGATGAACGATCGGGGATGTGCCAGGCGCAGGTCTCTTGCGGGTAATTCCTTGAGGACTCATCACAGGCGACAAAACCAACGGTCGGTAAAGTGCAAAGACGTTCTAAGGGGCGAGTAAAGTCGCGTATATGATGGCCTAGCGTCGTCCACTAGGAGGGAAGGAAGAATAACGGCGATTGGGCGAGAGACGAGAGAAGTACTTAGTCGGTCGGGTAAATGGCGGGGTGAGCGGAAGGCCTTAGTTGGCACGGGCAATCCGAAAATGAGGAGGGGAACTTGTCATCAACGTCGTGATTCTCAGAGACGTCCAGGGCGATGGCACTCAGAAGAATGAAGAGCGCTCAGCAGCGGAGAGGGCGTGGGACTGCAGGCGCAAGTGTCAATGGCGGAGACGCGACGGCGCCGCCGCAGACGCTAGGCGTAGTAGCAAGAATCGAATGTAAGGCGGGCGTCAGGCAATCTGCGAAGACGGCAATTCTATATCGGACCGAAAATATGCGTCTGGATGCGATGCAGTCGCTGAATCCGAATTACTTGAGCGAATCGAGGCTGGCGATGGAGATTCGACAGAGCCTATTTAACACGGGAAGGCTCTGGGGCCGAAGGTGGGTTGAGAGATACAACCGAGCCGGCGCAACAAAGGCAGGCACAAAGCGCAGAAGAAACAAAGCCTTCCACCACGGGAGGTGAAGAAGAATGGGCGCGACGGAGAACGGGATGAAGCGATGGAGTTGGATCTGAGGGGGCTCAGGACAGGCAACGGCGTCTGGTCACCGCCAGCAAACTCGGGAACTCGAGATGCTTGGCGGGCGGTGATGATCTCAAACCTCGGCGGTGAGTCGTGATTGGCCAATGGCTGACTCAGCGTACGGCACGTGGACGAGGGCGTCTCAGTCGCGATTCGCAGTTTTCCGTTGTTATTCACTCTAGTATCCCTCCTGGGCGTCAAAGGCTTTGTTCTCACTTACGGACAGCAACCATCGTCAACGGCAACCATCGCTGCTGACCACACTACTGTTATGACCTCTACTAAGTACTTGCTAGTGAGGTTGGCTCCCTTCGGGACGGCAAGCTCCCCACTGCCCCATTGTCCAATCACCACCCGCTAATCTTTGCGGCATCGACTTGGCCCATTTCTTCGGACGGCCTGATCCAAAGCCTGTTTTCCTTCCAGAGGTTTCACGATGCTTCTATCGATTTCTGACGCTTCAAATTTTTCCCTAGCCAAACATCTAGGTGCTGCAGAAAGCCAAGCACAGATGTACAGGATGAAAGCAATCAAAGACTTCACCATCAAGAGAATCAGTCTATTCCACCATCTGGTCACCAGTTAACTGCCGGAAGCGTTTCAGTATTCTCTGCCACAGGTCTGGCTGATCCTCCGTAAACCGCTCGATCTTCTGCAGGGCAGCCAAGTCTTCCTCCATATGATGGCGCTTGGTTGTGCCGTCCAACACCGTAGTGTGTCCCAGTCCTAGAACAAGACAGTAAAGTGCTGCAGCTGGCGAGATATCTGTTTCGTGGGCAAGCAGCTGAACAGCATCCGAGCGAATTAATTCTGGATTTGCCGATAGCGTCCAGAAGCTCTGGTAAATGATTTGGTTCTCCCGGCAAAAGGCCCTCAAGGGAACATCGTATTGCGTGTCGGCATAGAATCGGTTCTGAACCACAGCAGGCTTTACCCTTGCTTGGCCAAACAGCTCCTTCAAGATGGACAGAGTCGTGTTGGATATACCCAGGCTACGGATCTGGTGAGGAACATAGCTCTCAACCGCGGACCAAGCCTCCAATGTCTGAGACATCGTCGGCAGCGGTGAATGCAGAATGAGCATGTCAATGTATGCGTCGTTCACACTATCTGCCGTGCCTGACGGCCGGAGATTATGCAGCGACGACTTGATAGACGCATGGACCTGATCAGTCACCGAGGCCTTGGGGTCATACGGCATATTATCCGGACTCTGGCCATTGACGGACGTGAATTTGGTTTGGACCTGACATGAATTAGCAACAGGCAGACACGAAATGCAATGGAGAATTTCTAATTTTGGGTTTTGCTGTGGATTGACCACTTACATGAAGATCTTCTCGTCGGACGTAGCCGTCCTGGAGGGCCCTGCGTATGCCTTCCCCGACCAAGTCCTCGCGATAATGCTTGGGTTGGGCAGCAGTGTCCACGGCGCGGAAACCAGCCCCAAGCGCCTGGTGTACCAAATCGGCGGTCTGGTCTTTCTTCCAAGCGGTACCGTAGATTAATGTGGGAATGATGGCGGGTGGTGCGTTTTGCACGGGACGGAGGACGTGACTCTCCCAGGAGAGTTTGGTCATTGCAGCGCGAGCCATAGTGAAGTCGATCAATTCAATGGATTGGATGATATGCAGGGTTGTAGCCGAGATGCCTTGTCATGATGCCTGCGGATGAGCGGATGCAGGAAGAAAGTAGCGGTTAACTCCGACCGGGTTATCCAAGGTGCGAGCACCTGACTTCATGATGACCTAACTCATAGGGACCTAATGTGTTGATGTCGACAAGACTTTGCAAACATAGGTATCTGGGTGTGTGTGATAGCGGTGGCCTGCAGCAAAGATTGACTAGTGGTAGCAGCTTTGTTCCGGTCCCTCACATTCGCACACAGGCAGCATCATTATCCGAGCTTTAAGTGGCAGATGCAGGTGTGATGTTTCTATAACCTGTGCAGGAACTAAATATAGCGGGGAGGCAGTGCATCCATCCGATGCTAGAACTTCACCCGCGGGTGGAGTAGGAATAGCTTGTACTGTGTACCTGGGCTTTCCCCAAATTTGAGCATTGAACCATTTCATTCGAGACAAATTTCCATGCAGTGTCATGCCAGCTGATGGATAACTCCGGCAGATGAGTTCCTCGTTGGTTCCAGAAGAGCCCCGAGTGACAGTGTCACAGATGACATCATACCTTTATCCCATACTTGACTGCAGTAGAAACCTCGCTTGACTCTATGCAAAAACAGCACTACACCAGCAGCCCCCAACAACATTCCATGTAACCCCGGGAATCATTCCGATCAATCAATCAACCCACTCCACAACTCGCCTACTATTGAACTATCGCGACCCACCCTCAGGGACTCCAACTGCAACGGCATATCGGGCTACCCCACCGTGGCGGTGCCCTGACACTATCAAACTATACAGCCATTCAGCAACACCAAATTCAGACTAACTTCCAGGCAACTTCGTTCTCATCTCCCAGATTGGTGTTATCAGAGATGATCAGGGTCTTCCCGCGGCTTGGCATGACCGAGTTGCAGATACCCGAGCTACTGATCCTTACTTCCACCTATCTCTCGTGCCGAATCAGGCAAGCTTGGGGTGGGAAGACCTCACGAATGTAGGGAGGACAGTTGTTTCCGATATTGCATTGAGGAGTTGTTGTGCATATGATTTTTCTCCTAGCAGCATGTCACCTACCCCGACTAGTAGTACAGAAAAAACAAATATAGAAACAAAGTAGGTAGTGGTATACAGAGAAACAAGGTATAAATAAGAAGCAATATCCATCCAACATCGATATATCATCATCAACATCAATTCCCTCGAGAACAAACCATCATCACACTTCAATCATCACTACTACTTAACGCGGTCTTCTCTCTAAACTTTCTCAGCCACCACCACAGGAACAACACCACAAACAGCAGCAGAAGCAGAAAGCAAAAGCAATCGAAGATGCACTTCCACCTCATCCCAGCCCTCCTCTCCATCACCACCACCCTCCTCTTTACTCCCCTCGTCCGCGCCGACAACGACCTCGACTCTGACGATGTCCCCGACCGCTGCTGGTCCGTCTGCGGTCCCGTCGTAGGCATAACCCAGGGCTGCGACCACCGGTACGACGACAACGACCGCGCCGAGCTCAACTGCATCTGCAACTGGGCCGAGGCACCTACTCTTCTGCCATTGTGCGAGGCCTGCATCGCCAATTACCGCAGAGAGCATGACCATGACGACGACCATGATGCGCATGATAATGGTAGGTTTGCCATTCTCATACAAGTTTCGTATAGATATGAAGAGTGATATGCTAACTATAACAGATGCCTACGACATCCTCACCTCCTGCTCTCTGTCCACGACAACCTGGAACGCAGCGGCCGCTACTTCTGCCCTTCAGTCTGTGAACAGCACGAGTGCTACTGCTACCGCTACTGGCTCTGGTGCTGGGGCTAGTGGTACTGGCTCTGCGGCTTCGACCGGTGGTTCTGCTGCTGCCGCGTCTTCTACTGGTGATGTTAATGGGGCTGTTGGAGTGAGCGTTCCCGGGCTCTCGTCTGTGGCGGTGATGTTGGCCATGGGTATGGGGTATTTGGGTATGGTTTGAGATGGATGGATTATTGATTGAGGAAATGCATGGACGGTCATGGTCATGAGAAATGAGTTTCATATTGATGAGATGAGATTTTAACATCTCTAGGATACCTCCGTTGGTTATCTGATATTCTATCTTGGGGTGATGTTTGTGATAGCTGAGGGTGGAGGATGATATAAGGGTGGCTATCTTTGATGGATAGGTATAGGACGTTCCTTACAGAAGTAATACATGATTCTGCGCTTTGGTCTTGCTTCTTTGTGGTGTGCATGTGGATAGCTGTATATGCACAACAATCAGTGATAAGATCTTATCATCCTTTCATTATCGAGTCAGATTCGGAATACGCCCCAATTAGTCCATTGTGAGAACATAATTCTGCTTTGCAGTCAGATCAATGTCTATGACTGCTAAGACTTTGAGTTATTAAGATGGTATGGCCTTTAGGGCCGGGTTCTGAGACATGACGAGGCTCTTCGGTAAATATATATATGCCGTCTGTTATTGCTAAGTACCGGCATATAAGACATACTAGTAATACTGCAAGATGTCACCGACCTCATTCTGCATAGATAATACAATATACCTTAATGCAATGTACATTATTATTTAGGGTAGTAGCATGAACTCTCTCATGCGTCTTAGCCAAACAAATCCTCGCAGTTCTCATAAGCGCGCACATGGTTGAACACCCACACTTCAATAGCTGATAGTCCAGCCATGCACAGAAAAATCAAATGATCAATCTAGTTATGTGTCTTTATCTCCTGCAAGGATTTTGAACACCCAATGTGAGGCAGTCCGAGAAAATAATGTCAACAATGTCGTACGGATCCCCTCGATGCACCTGATGTGGCTAGGTGGCTAAGTATCATGGTTCCTTTCCGCTAGTAATGATATACATCGAGTACTCAGTTGTGAAGTAGGACTTGCTCAACATGCGTGGGTCAAAGCTAATGATGTTCTAATTACTGTGGTATTTGAGAGACGCCTGTTAACATAGCAGCGACAAAGAAGCGAAAATACAATGCAAGATCATAGCCCCCAAGAACTGCTAATAGCTGGCAACGAATCATAGCAACAGACAACAGTATCCATAAACAAAGAAACGAGTAGAGACTCTTCTAAAACTTTATATTCCGCCACCGACAATCTTAAACTCTACTTTTTGGCCTGTGACACTCCGAGTCTAAGATACATTTTTCACATCTCGGAAATAGACGCCTTCGCACTAGCCCATGTCATAAAGCGTATTTGAGCTCCATTCATACTCAATTGATTGAGGTACACTGCATCAACAGAGTTTGAACGGATGTGGATCAGAGCATGTATTGAAGTCAATTGTAGTAATAGGGAAATGAGGACCATGAAGATGTGTATTCAAAGAATAATAATATAACCGTGTCGCGTAAAAGTCCTTTCTGTAGAGCAGGATTAGAGCTAGCGTTCAATATTTAGGCAGTCCGCCATGTACCAGGGTGTTAGTTTATATAGTGTTTCACAAAGTGTTCTAGGGATCCTTTTTCTTGTAGGCAAGATCCTAATGAGAACATTCTTGATTAGACTTGATGAGTGGTATTGGGCGCCTCAATTCTGGAAAGTTTGCCCCATCTCTGCTTTAGCCAAGTCAACAGCCACTGTTCTGCACCATTTGACAAAGCGACGAATGGATTAAAAAGAATATAGCTGCTGACAGCTGGCATACTATCAACGATATTTAATTCTATGATCACGATGCTCATCTGACTGCAATGAGATGTTTAAGAAAGGGACAATTTATGATTCCGCAGTGTCCCTTGTCTTTGTGTGGAGTAAGAGTTGTGTCCGAGTCCAACGTATAATTGAGTCCGAAGGCCATCATACAATCAAAAGTGAGACTGAAGCACAGCGAGCGATATACTATCATGATCTCCAAACACCATTGGACAAGATTCAAACATCAAAATATATCCCCGATTATACTATATCGTACTACCTACCATCATCATCATGTCACACACTGAATCTGATTACAGCGCCTGAAGAACCTGTCACAACTAAGTAAATAACCACCACCAACCCAGCATAACGTGCACCAGACCCTCATGCCTGTCTGTCTCCTTGCTTGAAAAACGAAATTACTTTAAACTCCTATCAGAGACACGGGCTAAGCACAGATAAGCCCACCACCACCACCTCCTCCTCACCAAGCATTCGACTGGCAAAACAAGGAGTGGGTGAGCACGCCAGCCACACTCCAAAAGCCACCTAATCTCCATAATAGCCACAAGCCACATATCACAGCCACAATCAACCGAATCCTTCCTCAATAGGTGTAGTTGCAGGCAACAAACAAAGCATACGCATTCTGCCTAAAGCCCACACATCCGCAACTTGCACCGCCCAAGCGGTAAGGATTACTTACTAGTATCTTAAAAGTAAATGCCACAAATACTCACTCAACCACAATACTGTGAATGTGTCCACAACTACTGTACCAACAACTATGTCCCAACTTTAAGCCATTATTCCAACACAAGATATAAATTAATCCATTATGTAAACAATACTTAAGCGAAGCGATACTTAACTATTAATCACGACCAAAATCTTACTGCAAGCCTTAATAACAATAATCCCATCGGATAAATGAGAAAGCAAAAAAATCGAATAAAAAAACAGCCCACCAATCCGCTGATCGGTAGGTTTTAGTTAGAGACTTAAGTACTTAGTTTCCTGCAACATGCAAAGAATCTGCAAAGCTGAACGAATTACGGGAGTAGTACGGAGTAGAACTCAGGCAGTGCAGTGCAGGGCGAACGAAGGAAAAAAAAGGGAAGGGGAAGGGGAAGGAAAGAAATTCCGATAATTCGGAGTTGAACCCTTGCATGAGATTTACTGTAGTGCACGGATGAGTGAGTGAGTGAGTAATGGGTGAGGTAGTCATGGGGAGGGAGAATTTCTTCGTTTTGATTTACTTACTTGGTCTGTGATGGAGGACTTTTTATATGAATTTCCTTGGTTTTGTACTCGTTTACTAGTTGGCTTACATTAATTATTACCACTATCTCTCAACTTCAGATAAAATTCCTAAACCCTCCATTCTTCTCCCTGTCAATATCAGAACTACAAGCAAAACGAAGCACAGTTTCAGCTGTTTCATTTTCCGAACTCTCGCTTGCGATTCCTGTGGCAACAAACCCAGATGGATCAGGTGGCTTACATGGGCGGCGCGGCGCTTGCATTGCATTAGGCCCGGTAGCCGGTGCCCAGGATGAAATAGATCAACTTAGACTAGACTAGACTAGACTCTGTACTTAAAACGCCTCCCCTTCGTTTTGCTCAGGTCCATAAATAAATGAGGATAAAAAGCATCGTCGGAGACTCGGAAATAGATCCAGAACATTAAGTAGGAGATTTTGAAAGATTGGGTAGCAATATTTATTGTCATGGTGGAATAGTAATTATTATTTTGGGTTCTTCTCTTCCACACTGCTTGGTGGCATGGACAGGTCTCGCTGCTGCAAAGCATACAAGAAATATTGCATAGCCCACAGTGGGCAGCAGTGGCCCTGACCTGCAAGAAATGGATAGTGATCTGACTTGCCTGCTGAAAAGGGCAAAATGTCTCGGATGAATGGATTGGCAGCTCTGTTCGGTCAAATCATGTCCATCTGTCAGTCAGTCACCGAATACTTGGGCAGTCAGTCAACGATTTTAACTTGGCAGAAAAAAGGGAGTGCTTTTCGATGATCGGCGCTTCCTGGCAACGAATATGAGGCATTCAAATGTGTTAGTCGTGCTTTTCTTGATTTTCATTGTTCGCACCATTGCCACAGAGAATCATGATGCAGCACTGCCGCACTGGCGTTTTACTCTCTTAAGTTTGAGTAGATACCCTTGGTGCCCTGACTATTGATTCATGAGGGTGAGGCAGTCGTCGCCGGTTAACTCTTGAGACTATTCTCCGTAGCGCTTTCAGAGTGTGCCTGGTGCTAATTATAAGCATCGAACAACCATTCCGAGTGGCCGGAATTACACTGCACATTGAATAGTCTTCGATGATCCGAAACTTTTCCTGTACAGTAGTCAGTAACACCAGTGAGCTACTTTTTCAGGCGCAACACTTGTGGTGGGCAGGAAGCCAAACCCACACCTGCGGTCTGTTGATCGGATTTGTCAGAGCGGACCACTCGCGTGCTTTCCACCCACTCCCTTTCTGCACCGCCTGCAATAACAACAATGGCAGCATGTACTTGACCTACTGTGTACATACTGGACCTCTGCCCCTCCCTCTCACCTACTCACTCCCTAACCAATTCCCTGGCGATTCCGACGAAAGGATCACGTAAAGCGGTCGAGATGGCCCGGAGCGGGCTGCTCCCCCTATCGGCACCGGTCACGGAGCGAATCACACCATCGTTACACTTATTTAAAATCGAAGCTTCCAATCAGCAAGATCTACTGCGCACTAGGCCGGCTCGTGGTGCCTAGCGGGCTCCAGTCCAATTTGCCTGGAAGGTGAATGGAATCGCTCTCGGTGGACTTGGGAACGGACTAAGAATGTTCTATAGAAACGCTTGGGAGTTTAGCTCGCGCCGGGATCGCCCCCAGAACTCCCCGGTAGGCTATGCGACGGGGACTGGCCCAGTCGGCCTCATAAATTACCCTTAGGGCGCCCCCATCAGGTACAAGTACCGAAACCGAATACGTACGTGCTGGAATTTCATCGTCATCTCGATCCCTCCGATGGCTTACGGTTACCGGCCTGCTGTTAGCCTGCGTGGGAGGCGCCAGATGCAGCGGGCCTCTCTCCATAGCAATATCGGGCGGACAACATCCCATCTCGGGAGCTTGCTCAAGAAGAGCATGGTAATCTGACGTCTCCAGTCAACAGGTTCTGGTGACACTCTAGCGGGTTCTAGCTCGGGGTGTTAATCCCAAACCGCCAATATTGGGTCCAGTTACCCCCCATAGGAGTAGTGGCCATAGTACTCTGTAGTAAGCCAAACACCGAGGCCTTGCGGATCCGCGAAAATGACCTCGCCACTTTTGTACTACTATTGCGGCAATTGCATTCTCGATTATTCGTGGAAGGTGATGGGTCACTAGGCTTGGTCTCGATGCCCTGAGGGAGGCGAGTCGAAGAAACGTCAGGGGACAAAAATTACCTACCTAATCCTGTATGGTAAGTAACAATTTCCCCGAAATGGATAGGGAGAAACTTTTAGGTATTTCTAAGTCCCCGTCGTATAACGGGAGCCATGGGGTGCGTTCAAGACTTGCGTGTCAAGTAAATAGAGGGGAAATGATGGGAATGT